ACCCAACGTTTGCTTGATTACATTACAAAGGTGAACTACATAAGCACGTGTAGTCGTGAGCAGAAGTAGGAACACCATGAGTGGGTGGCCTGTTTATGCGCCGGCTTCCTCATCCGGTGCGTCCAAAGCATAAGGTCATCGAGGATTCGCTTCAAGGTGAAAATGCTATGGTGGTTCTGTTGCTTGAAGGTCATAGCATTTCTGGAGTCCCATATCTTCCATAGGATGATGAGAAGTACGGAATGCCAGATTCTTGCATCAACCTGGCAGGGGAGGTGGCAGTCCCACAGTTCATGAATGGAGGTGGGAGGTGAGAGTCCAATCCGTTGCCAAATTCGCTGAGCGAGTGGGCAATCGATGAAGATGTGAGAGCTGGTCTCGCCGTCAAAACCGCATCGTGGACATAGAGAGTCTGCGACGATGTGCTTGCGAAGGAGGTTGCATTTGGAGTTGAGACGTCCACGGAACAGGAGCCATGCAAAGATCTTCACGCGGTTTGGGACGCATGTAGACCAGATGGCAACGGCGTGCATGTCATCTTCATTTTCGCCCATGGTCAGCTGGTAGGCGGCCCGCGTGGAGAAGCGGAGGCCACCGTTAAGGAAGCGCTGGTCCGGTCCTGGCGATATCTGGAAATCCTGCAAGAGAGACAACAACGAACACAACTCAGAAGCGGCATTAGTTGTTAGGCGGTTCCGTAGGATTGATTCTAAACCGATATTCAAAACCGCAGCCACACGAGTGAGAGGTGTGGTGGTATGCGAATATAGGCAGGGAAATAGAGTAGCAAGCGATTGCTGGTGGAGCCATGTGTCTAACCAAAAATAGGTGTTGGTACCGGAGTTTGTGATAACAAAGGAGATGTCATGTAGTGCTGGTAGTTGCTGGTTTATGATTCGGCAGAGGAAAGAGTGGCTGTTTTGTGGAGTGATAAGGGCATTTGGGTGTTGCAAGGTGATCCATTCGAGCCAAGGGTTTTGTTCTGGAAGCAAAGCTTTGACAGCAAATTTCATTAGAAGACAGTTATTCTGAACATGGAGATTTTTTAGGCCCAAGCCGCCGATCTTTTTTGGTTTACAAACATTTTTCCAGGCAACTAAGCATTGAGCACCGGTGCATGTTTCCTCCGCAACCCAGAAGAAGGCTCGCCGGATAGAGTCTAGAGTTTTTAGAACACTTTTAGGAATGAGGAAGATGGACATAAAGTATACCAGGATGGAGTCGAGAACGGCAGACAGCAAAATGAGCCTGTCTCGTTTGGAGAGAAGTTTGGCTCGCCATCCTGTCAGGAATTTTTGGCATCGTTCAATAATGGGTAAAAAGGCGTTAGGCGGGAGACGGGTAGGAGCCAGGGGTAGACCTAGGTAGATTTGTGGAAAGGTTGATGTTGTGCATTGTAGAGTGGCGGCAATGGAGTCCGCAAGTCTGGGGCATACATGCATAGGCACCAACGTTGTTTTTGTGAAGTTTATCATGAGGCCGGTGGCCATGGCAAAGTTGTGAAGAATGTTTTTTAGCTGCAGGGCCGCGTCGTTGGACGCTTTTGCGATAATAAGTGTGTCGTCCGCATATTGTAGGACTGTCGGTGGTAAATGTGTGAATAGGGGATGTGTGAGGTGTAGGAGGTCGCGGTATTGATTGATCATCTATTGAAGGAGGTCAGCAACAATGATGAATAGATAGGGTGATATGGGGTCTCCTTGTCTAAGAGTGTTATTGCAGTTTATCCAGTTCTCCGGAATACCGTTTAGCATGACGGCCGTTTTTCCAGATAAGAGGAGATCCTGGATTCAGGCTGTAAATTTTGGCGGGAATCCATGGCAGTGTAGGATGGTGAGAAGTGATGCCTAAGAGAGGGAGTTGAAGGCTTTGGAGAAGTCTAGTTTAATGATCATGGTTGGGGCTTTTCGGGAATGGCAGGCCCCGATGAGGTCTGCGGCGAAGACGAAATTTTCAGCGATGCAACGTCCTGAAATGAAACCAGTCTGGTTTCCATGTACGAGTAACGGGACAAGCGGTTGGAGTCTGTTGGTGAGGATTTTTGCGACCGCTTTGATGGGGCAATTTTGAAGAGAAATCGGACGGTAAGCGTCAGGCGTATTTGGGAGGTCTTTTTTTGGCAGCAAGATTAGGTGAGCTCTATTTAAGCATTCAGTTTGGGCAGAGAGGTTTTGGAAATCGGTCATAAAGGAGAAGATGTGTTTTTAACTAGATTCCAGTATTTTTTGTAGAACTGGGGGCCGAAGCCGTCTGGTCCAGGACTAGCGAGGGAGTTCATTTGCATAAAAGCCTCTTTGATTTCACTGTCATGTTTTCACTGTCATGTTTTCATTATGAGATGCTACTTCTATATTGAGCATTATTCAATTGAAAACATGACTATTTTAACTTTGGTACTTGCTATTATGGATTGGAGAAGAATCTGCATCATTGGCGTTTTTCTTTTTCTCTTTATATTCTTTATTGGGCCTGTTTTTCTTCAATATCTTTTTCGATAAAGGATGTTTTGTTACTTAAAAGGTTTTTCTTTACTATCTATTCTAGAAAAACATCATGCGAAAAATACCATAGATGCTACGTGAAATATTGATTTTGTGGAACCAAATTGATGCAAGCATTATTTCTTAAATCGTGCTGGGACACTGATTTTATGCAAAGGTTGAAGGCCCCATCTGGCACCAATGGTTCAGAAAACTATATGATGCCAAACAAGTGGACAATTATTCCCACTAGTATGACAGGTTAGTCTCACCTTGAGGCTCCATCCATCCAGGGTCATCAAATATGACGAGGCATGGAACACTTCAGAAACATCTAGATCAGAGATGACTGTCATGCACTTTGGACAGGCTGCAGCAAGAGGCAAAGGCATGACGATATCTGCTGCATCCAGCTGTTGACGCGGGCATGCTGTGGTGAAGAGTTAGGCCGGGGTGAAGACCTGCCGTCGCCGAGACGGAAATATCTTGTGTGTGGCTGGCCGCTGGTGATAGCAAGTGGTGTGCCGTTCCATGGACTGAAGCAGCTTGCGTGCTGATGCTGCGGCCTTTGCTTTGCCCGTAGATTTTCTTGCGATCGCGAAAGCAAGGCGGACGAACGATGCCACCACATATCTATTTATTCATTGTCCGACGCCTTTTTGATTACCCAGGGCATCTTCAACGAAGATCCTTAAACCACCTGCAACCCTTTAAACCATACTGCGCTCCACTGGCTTCGTCGGCATTGGCCGCAGCGGCGGTCCGCACCGAGTAGGAGGAAGTGTAGCGGCTTCTACGCGAGCGGCACACAACGGCCGAACAAGGCTGGCGCGGTGGACCGGTGCCCTGCCGGTGGTGGAGGGACAACGATGATGACAACGCCACGGACGGAGACGGTGGTTGGCTAAGCAAGGAGGTAACACGTACGAGGTGGTCGTGCGGTACGAGTTGTAGGTTTTTTTAGTGTTATTAAGTAAAACGGCCGAAATATCAGTCGTTTATGTAAATTATGAATAAACTGAAATGAATTCCGTCGTGTTTGATTAAATTCCGTCTGATTATTTCAAATAGTAAAAAATATGCGACTAGTTTTGGATGGCCGGCTCCTACATCAGTGTCCCTGAAATGACCATCCTAGTCTATAAATGGATGCGATGTCTAAATTGCGAGTCAGCATTGGAGATGCCCTAGCTACCAACTACCAGGGGACTGAGAATGGAAAATCCTGTATTACGCTCCTTGCGTGAAAGTGTCGGACCTATACACTCGAGCTTCTCAGCACGAGAGTTTGGACCGACCCAATATACCACTGCGAGGCAGCCAGTTTCGGATACCTTCTAGAAGGTTTTGTGAACCGATTATTTTGTTTCTTTTAACGGTTTTCCGACTTCTTTTGGGTTTTATTCATTTTCTCTTTTACCTTTTCTTTTTTGTTTTCTTTTTTACTCTTTTCTATTTTTTTCTTGTTCTGTTTTTCTTTTCTTATTTTCTTTTTAAAAAATAATTCATGTTTCCAAAAACTGTTTTCAATCTTGAAAAAGTCTTCAAATATTATTCATGAACCAAAATTTTAAATTTCCAAAAATGCTCATGCTTTTAAAAAATTGTTCAAGTTTATGGATAATGTTCCCGCTTTTCATATTTTGTTAAACTTTTAAAAGAAAACTGTCTTTTCAAATTTTGTTCATATATTTGAAAAATGTTTGCACTTTGAAAAATTGTTTAGAAGTTAAAAATTCCTGATTGTGGGTCATAAACTAAAAAAAAATTGGATTTCAAAAATTGTCCACATATCCAAAAATGTTCTATTTTTTAAAATTCTAGTTCGGAGTTCTAAAAAATGTTCCCATTTTTCAAAAACTTTTTAGTGTTCTAAATTGTTCGTGTTTTTGGAAAAGAAATTGTGTTTTTAAAAATTGTTTGGACTATTCAATTTTTTTTGTGATATAAAAAATTGTTCATGTTTGTCAAAAAATGTTTGGAATTCCAAAAGTTGTTCACGTGTTTTCAAAAATGTGTTGAAATTTTAAAAATTGTGACACATTTAAAAATATGTTAATTTCAGTTTTGTAAATTATTTGCATTTAGAAAACTTATTTTGCATTTCAAGAAATGTTTCGATTTTTTTTCTAAAAATGATTTCATGTATGAACGTTGTTGTCTGTTCTTATATACTTCGCGCTAATTATCATCACCAGGACTGGCCGAGTGACTAGCTTTGCACATCTCCAGGCACCCTCATATCCGCTCCAAATGCCCGGGCGACCTGTGTTGATAGAAAGTTGTCACCCAAACGGACCTGGCAAACTCGGCTCAAACGCTTGGGTTGACCGACACCCCTATACTCGGCCCATATCTCTGGGGATATGGGGACCCCTGACGCTTCCGCCATGTTGGTTCCGACAAGCTAGATCCATCTGAAATCCTCTCAAAATTGACTAGTCCACCACTTCGGCCGTGCTCCTCTCGCCTCTGCGTAGCTGTCCACCTCCTTGCTCACCATCCGTGACGCTGTCCTCGTCTATCGCCGCTCGTTTACAGAAGACAGGTGTCTTCGCGTGATGGGTCGGCCCGATGGTCGGCCCAGTTATGTGCAGAGCCTGTGCGAAGCCGACCCAGTTATGTGAGAAGCTTGTGTGTCATCCACCCAACTATGTGCGGAGCCTGTGCGGAGCCTGTGCCAGGTCCTAGTGAGAGCATCTACAATGGAGCTCTCATATCCGCCCCAAATGCCCGAGCGGACTGCTCACTGCTTGGACAGAAATATGCCACCCAATCAAAACTGGCAAACACGACCCAAACGGCCGGTCGGCCTGCTAGTCACTGTCTGGACAGAAAACTGCCACCCAATCGAACCTGGCAAACCCGACCCAAACACTTGGGCTGACTGGCACCCTTATACCCGGCCCATATCCGTGGAGGATATGGCCCCCCCAAAGCATCCGCCACATCGGTTCCGACAAGCCGAACACATCTAAAATCCTCTCAAAATTGACTAATCCACCACTTTAGCCGCACTCCTCTTGCGTCCCTCCTCCATTTCCCGCTTCCGCGGAAACCGCCCACCTCCTCCCTCACTCACCATCCGTGTCGCTGATATCGTCGCCGGGTACCCTGTCCGCCACCATCGACATGGATGCTTGATGACCCACAAGTATAGGGGATCGCAACAGTCTTCGAGGTAGTATTTCAACCAAATTTATTGATTGGACACCAAAGGAGCCAAAGAATATTTATAAGCCTTAGCAGTTGAGGTGTCAATTCAAAACCTGGTAAGTTATTTCTCTGTGAAAAAATATTAGTACTACAGTAATATGGTAATTTTGATAGTAGCGATAACAATAATAATAGTAATAGAAACGGTAACAATAGCAGTTTTGTAGCAGTTGGAACAACAATAGCAATGGTAGTAACTTAGCAAAGAAAATATGAGAAAAGCATAGACATGAAGTAGAGATGGATATTTGGATGACATTCATTATGTGACAGTCACAACCTAGAGCGATACACAATAGCTCCAATTCATCAATTATATGTCGTATATAGCCATACATGCTTATAATATGAACTTGCATAATATCTTTTATACTACCCTCCCGTGGCAGCGGGGTCCGAATGTAAACTAAGGGTAACTAAGGTACTCCTTTTAACAGAGAACCAAAACAAAGTATTAACACATCGTGATACATGAACTCGTCAAATTACAGTCATCCTTAAAGAGTATCCCAACTATTGTCACCTTGGGGGTCTACGGTTCAGAACAATAACAGGTGCATATAACTTGCAAATAGGATCAAGAACTCAAATATATCCATGAAAACATAATAGGTTCAAATCTCAAGTCATGACACTCGGGGCCTAGTGACAAGCACTAAGCATAGCCAAGTCATAGCAACATAAATCTTAGAACATAGTGGATAGTAGGGATCAAGCCCTAACAAATTGACTCGATTACATGACGAATCTCATCCATCTCCATCTACCTCCAGTATGCCTACAATGAAATTACTCACTCCTGGTGGTGAGCATCATGACATTGTTGATGAAAAGGGGTTGTTGATGACAGCAGCGATAATTTGCCCTCTCCGAAGTCCTGAACAGACTCCATATCATAGCTCTTAGTGAAGAACAAGAGGTAGTGGCAGCTCTGCATCGTAAAACATGATGATCCATGCCAACTCAACAGACACCTTCGGAGATACCTGTAGAGCATCTTTATGATCACCCAGTTACGTTGTGACGTTTGATAGCACACAAGGTATTCTTCTGGTATCCGGGAGTTGCATGATCTTATGGTCGAAGGAATATGTATTTGACATTAAGAAAGCAATAGCAATAAACTGAATGATCATATGCTAAGCTAACGGATGAGTCTTGTCCATCACATCATGCTCCTAATGATGTGATCTCGTTATCAAGTGACAACACATGTGCATGGTTAGGAAACCTTAACCATCTTTGATCAACGAGCTAGTCTAGTAGAGACTCACTAGGGACACTGTATTTGTTTATGTATCCACACATGTATCTAAGTTTCCGATCAATACAATTCTAGCAGCAATAATAAATCTTTATCATGAATAAGGAAATATAATAATGACAACTTTATTATTGCCTTTAGGGCATATTTCCATCACTTGACGCAGAGGGTATGGTGGTGCGGCGGCTATGATAGGATTTCTAGCTCAAGCGCATGTAGCTGCCATGATTGCTGAGAAACGATGGCGACAACACGATTGACTTCAATTTGGTGGTGCTTCTCGAGTACCCCGTGTCGAGCTTCGGGGTGAAAATCCTATATCTAACCCAAACTAATTATACCTATCAATGGTGATGTTTTTGTGTCGTGACCTTGTTGAAGGCCTTGATCGGATATGCTCATGCTTGTTCTTGGGTGTGAAAACCTTGAATCTCGCCATTAGTGGTTAGCACGGGCGACGACGGTTCCCTTTTTGTAAGCGTTGTGGTATTTTTGATAAACCTGGCCCCTTTGCACGACTTGAGGCACGTCTGGCCCTTGGGCAAAACTAATTTGAAATCTGGCCCCTGGGGTCGGCGCCACATATCATGGAGCCGAAGTTGTACATGTTGGCGCCACACTACACGGAGCCGGCATGTACAAGTTCGACGCCGTGCTAGATGAAGCCGACCTTAAATGGGCCCACAGAAACCCTAAGGGCCAGATTTGCTCGGCTCCACATAGTATGGCGCCAAACTTATACATCTCGGTGCCATGTAGTGTGGCGCCGACATGTACAACTTCGGCGCCATGATATGTGGTGCCGACTCAAGGGGCCAGATTCCAAATTAGTTTTAGTTTTGCCCAAGAGCCATACGTGCCCCAAGTTGCTCAAAAGGGCCAGATTTGTCAAGAAACACAGCGTTGTGTAGTTTGATGCGGATATGATTGTCATTGTAGTTTGTCGATTGCTGTTTAGATTGCTTTGGGATTTTCTTTTTTCATGCTAAGGCATAGTTTGGTCTCGTGTGACTTTGCTATTCGCCGACGTGTTTAGTTTAGTTTTTTGTGGGAACACTAACGTGTTTAGTTATATGTGTGTTTATGTTGGTTGTGTGAATCCTAATTATGCAGAGCTTGAGTTTATGTTCATTGTGTTTGTATACATTTGATGCTTCGTTTGAGTTAATAAAACCCACACATTCTCTTAAAAAAATAAGTAGCTGCGACAGAGTTGGTTTGTGGTAGATCACCTTCATTTCAAGCCCGGCCGGTTGCTGAGCAAATCAAGGCAGCAGATGGCGCGATTAGTTGCTAGCAGTCGACAGCCGTCATGCATTAGCTAGAGAGACCATACCGATTAGTCAATTCTGTTAGCAAAGCCTCACCGCACTTCATCAAACGACCGAGATCTCCATTTTTCCTACCTACTATATGGAAATCATGAACAACATTCCGTACAAAGTCAAACACGCACACAACTTTAATGAATTATTAGTTGACGATGGTGTCTTTCTTGATTTAATGAATAATGATCATCTTTGTTTGCGCAACTCTAGCTTTGCTGGAACTGGAATCGAGCCTGGCGACGAGGGAACTGGCATGAGTGGGCTATATAAGCACAACCCGCCGTGCCTTGTGTCCTCACCCCTCGCTCTTGCACACAGATCGTTGATCTATCCCGCTCAGACTTAGTCAGCCAATTAAGCTGATTTGTAGCTAGGTCTAACGTGTGCAGAAGCAGTACGTCGATCGTACTTAAGTATGGCTTCCCGCAGCAGCTTCTCTGTGGCGTGTGCTGTCGCAGTGATGGCGTTTGCCATTTTGGCCACGGCGAGCAATGCGCAGCCGCTGGACCCTCATTTCTACGACAAGTTGTGCCCGGCGGCGCTCCCCGCCATCAGGAAGGTCGTTGAGGAGGCCGTAGCGGTGGAGCCGCGCATGGGTGCCTCGCTCCTGCGCCTGCACTTCCACGACTGCTTCGTCAACGTATGCACATATCTATATGAGCGCGGGTATTGCATTTAGTTTGGTTTGAAGACCTACTCTACTCGTTTGACGCTGGTTGCTGCCGGTTTGCTTGCAGGGGTGTGATGGGTCCATCCTGCTTGACGACACGCCCTTCTTCACAGGCGAGAAGAAGGCCGCGCCCAACGTGAACTCCGTTCGCGGCTTCGACGTGATCGATCGCATCAAGGACGCCGTCAACGCCGCGTGCAGGGGAAACGTGGTGTCCTGCGCCGACGTCGTGGCCGTCGCAGCACGTGACTCTGTCGTCGCGGTTAGCGCTTCCTCGTCTCCAGTATACTCATCAGGAGAAATTTATCCGCGTAACAATGGATGGAATATATTATTACTACTAACTAGCAGTAAGATATTGTTGCAGCTGGGAGGGCCGTCGTACGACGTGCTTCTGGGCCGGAGGGACGCGCGGGGGGCGAGCCAGGCGGCGGCGAACAACAGCATCCCGGCGCCGACCTTCGACCTCGACCGCCTCGTCTCCAACTTCGCCTCGCACGGCCTCACTGTGCAGGACCTGGTCGTGCTCTCCGGCGGCCACACGCTGGGCTTCTCCCGCTGCACCAACTTCCGCGACCGCCTGTACAACGAGACAGCCACACTGGACGCCTCCCTCGCCGCGCAGCTCAGGGGCCCCTGCCCGCTCGCCGGCGGCGACGACAACCTCGCGCCGCTTGACCCGACGCCAGCGCGGTTCGACGGCGGGTACTACGGCTCGTTGCTGCGCAGCAGGGGGCTGCTGCACTCGGACCAGCAGCTGTTCGCTGGCGGTCTCGGCCCCACGGACGCGCTCGTTAGGTTCTATGGCGCCGACCCGGAGGCGTTCAGGAGGGACTTCGCGGAGGCCATGGTGAGGATGGGCGGCCTCAGCCCGCTCACCGGGAGCAGCGGCGAGATTCGCGCTAACTGCAGGAAAGTGAACTACTACTAGTATGCGCGCACAACACGAAGTTTGAATCAAATGCAGTGTGTTTCCGGCAACGGGGCATAGTCAAACAGTGTTCTGCGTTTTTTTAGTTGTCTTGTATGGATTGCATTTAGTATTGTGGATTCTTGGGCTCTAGCACTTTATTTGATTCCGTTGTAGGATTTCTTAAGTGGAAACAGTGTTCCCGGTCGTATATATATATACTAGCCATGCCCGCGCAGCGCCGTGCGATGTTGATGTATTGCAGTGAAATTTGTTGCGTGTAATAGTGAAGAAGTTACAACATATTGTGTTGGTACTGCTGAGTTGCCTGTATTTTTTGAGTACACCACAACTTACGATAAAAGATGTGTATATGTGATTATATAGCTATAATAAGGTAAGTGGTGTGCCAAGGCAGATTTGAACACTTTGATTTATTACATTACACAATTGATCTCTCAGTATCTGATCTCTCACCTTGTAGCTGTTGGCCTCAAGTCGAATAAGCTCCCACTAAAAATCACCTGAGGCTGACTCCCTAAGTCGCTGCATAATTTGAGCCTCAGATACGTCACCTTTCGTGACTTTGACCACCCCCGTAGTCGTGCTCTGGGCCTCCTCAGGGACCTCCCTCGCACAAGGAGACTCAAAGAACATCAGCTCAGCACAACAGACTCCATAAATCGTAATACTCGGCATCTGATCTCTCAGTATCGGGCACTACCCCGTGTCATGCGCTGGTTTGAGGCAAGTAGATGTTCTTTGAGTCTCCTTGTGCGAGGGAGGTCCCTGAGGAGGCCCAGAGCACGACTACGGGGGTGGTCAAAGTCACGAAAGGTGACGTATCTGAGGCTCAAATTATGCAGCGACTTAGGGAGTTAGCCCCAGGTGATTTTCAGTGGGAGCTTATTCGACTTGAGGCCAATAGCTACAAGGTTGACTTTCCGACTACTGAGGACTTGGAGTGTCCTCTCAGTTTTGGGCTTTGCAGAGTTCCTGGCACAGAGTGCATTCTTGAGTTTCACGAGTGGAAGTAGGTTGAACCACAGGGTAAGCCTCTCACTCAGGTATGGTTGCGTTTTTTGGGAGCTCCATCTAAGTTGATTCGTGATGCTCGGGTTGCTGCAAGTTTGGGGATTCTGGTTGGCAAAACTGAGAGACTGGATATGGCCTTCACACGTGCCAACGGGGTGGCCCGGTTGCTGGTGAGTGTACTGGATATTGAGTTTGTGCCTGACGTGGTCAAGTGGATGCATAGGGGCCTCGTGTATAACCTTGATATTGAGTTTGAGGATTCTGAGTTCTTCGCCGAGGTGCTGGCAGGGACTGATGTGGACATGCATGATAAGAATGATGGCTCGGGTAACTCGGAGGCGCGAGGGCGAATGCTGGGCATGAGTTGCCCAATGGCCCGGGTACTGACCCTGAGATGCCCGGGAATGGGGTTGCACCCTCCCCGTCAGTGCCTATGAGTACCTTGAGATTCGGTTCTTTTCAGCCCTCTTCCGCGCCTCCCAGGATGTGGAGCGACAGGGTTGAATCTGAGGATGTGTTTGAGCGCATGTTACCTCCGCTGGACTTTGCTGAGAAAACGGGTTCTCCAGATGGGAGGGATGGTCTTGAGCAGGTGACCTCCCGCTCTCCCTCCTTTGCTGCTGGTTCGATGCTCGGGATGACTCCGTCGGGACTGGCAGCTATGGTGGCGGTGTCGCCGTGCGGTGACAAGCCTGGTTTGGGAGGGAGGCTCGGGCAGGAGGCCTCGGCTCCCTCCTCTTCTGCGATGGTCAGGGTGGCCGAACCTATGGCGCCGTTTGATCAGCTGACGCCGGCTGGGTTGGCTTCACGACCCGAGTCGAGTCCGACTGTCAGTCGGGTGGGGCGCGGGGGCAGGCGCCCCCGCCCTCTCTTTTCCTCGCGGGACGCCTGGTGGGGAGTCTGGGAAGGCGGCCCAGCCTTCACTAGCCCCGCGCTTGCCGGCGGTGGTTTGTGGCTCTTCGACTCCTCTTGCCGGGCCATCCGTTGGGGGTGGGGCAGGAGGCCTTACCCCAAACGGGGCGACCAGGGAGGAGGTCATCGCTTTTGGAGGTATTCCGGATCCTGTGTCTGAGGGCAGACGGATGAGCTGTCGCCTTCAGGACCAGACGGATGTTGATGATATGCAGCTGAGGTGTGCCATGCGGGCGGCCAAGCTTCGTGACATGGTGGTCACTACTGGTATGTCGGTCAACACTTCCAATTATATTTTGCATTTTTCTAATGATGAGATCATCCACAATGCAAATGAGTTAGGAGTTTCACTAGGTAGTAATGATAGTGAAATCTCTAAATCTGTTAATGACATTCTCGACCTGGAAGCAGAACGTGCCTTAGAGTTGATTCGTAATTTAGCTGCGGTTAAACCTATGAACGATTCCGATATTGATGCTTTGGGAGTTAGGGTGCTAGATTCGTTTTGTGTGGATCTTGCCCCATCCATCACTGAGACTGAGGAGGATGATGGCTTGTTACCCCTTGAGGAGAGTGCCCCGGTAGAGGGTCAGGAGGTTAGAGCTACGGAGCTCGGTTGTGAGGACCGGGTAGATGATCAGAACAAGCCTAAGAGAAAGTGGAGGCATAAGATTTATCCTGCATCCGCGGTGCGTAGGAGTGCTAGGGTCCGTACAACCAAAAAATTCCATGATGGACTATGAGAGGCATCTTTTGGAATAGCAGAGGTCTGATGGACTTGGCTAAAAGAAGGTTTCTAGCAGATGCTTCAATTGAACATAGATTGGACTTTATTGCCCTTTCCGACACAGGAAGGGACAATTTCTCTCCTTAGTTTCTGAGCACTTTATCCGGAGGTGTCGATTTTGATTGGCACTGCCTTCCCCCAAGAGGAAGATCAGGGGGATCCTTCTAGGGGTGAAATGTGAGGCGTTGGAAGTCCGAAGTGTGGTTATGGGTGACTTCGCCGTCAAATTTCGGGTTAGATCCAAAGTCGATGGTTTTAATTGGGCACTGGTTGCGGTGTATGGGGCCGCGCAGCCGGAACTAAAACCAGACTTTTTGGCGGATCTCATACGGATGTGCGGGTCTGAACAACTCCCAATTTTGGTTGGGGGAGATTTCAACATTATTAGAAGGAGAGAAGAAAAGAACAATGATAATTTCGACGCCAGGTGGTCGTTCATGTTTAATACCATCATTGAAAGCTTGGATCTTAGAGAGACAGAGCTTTCGGGTAGAAAATTCACTTGGGCTAATACTTTGCATAACCCTGAGAAGCTAGATCGAGTCCTAGCGAGCGTCGATTGGGAACAGAAATTCCCCTTGATTACAGTTCATGCGTTATCTCGCGGTATCTCTGACCACACCCCTCTGCTGGTTGATTCTGGGGAGGCAACACATGTGGGTAACAAAAATACTTTCTCTTTCGAACTTGCATGGTTTGAAAGAGAAGGATTCCTGGATCTGATAGCCAGAGAATGGGCGATAGATGCAGGAGGAAGGTCTCCTATTGAGAGATTGCAGAATAAGATTAGAAACTTGAGAAGTTTCTTGCGAGGATGGGCTAAGAATCTTAGTGGGATCTACAATTGAAAAGGAAAGGCTCCTTACACTTATACAGTACTTAGATGTGAAAGTCGAGTCCACAATTCTGCAATCATGGAGCTTCATGCCAAAGTTGATGCGGAGATGAGATTGAAAGAGCTGTTGAGGAAAGATGAGTTGAAGTGGGCATTGCGAGCTAAGGTTCGTAAAGTTGTCCAAGGGGATGCTAACCCTCAATTCTTTCATATGATCGCCAATGGCAAGCACAGAAAGAAAAAAATCTTTCAGCTTGAGCAAGACGAGGGGACTATCATAGGGCAAGAGAACTTAAAACTTTACATAACCAATTATTACAAGCAGCTTTTTGGGCCTCCAGAGGATAATTTTGTGTCCTTGGATGAGTCGAGGATTGAGGATGTGCCTCAGCTGGCTGCCGATGAGAATGATGTATTAACTGCACCATTCTCGGAGAAAGTGGTGTTTGAAGCGATTTCATAGATGAAGAACAGTAAAGCTCCGGGGCCGGATGGATTTTCGGCGGAGTTTTATAAGAGATGTTGGCACATTATTAAAGGGGATTTGTTACTGATGTTCCATGATCTATTCTCCGGACAGCTTCAGTTGTTTCATTTGAATTTTGAAACAATAACCTTGCTCCCGAAGAAAACAGAGGCTGTGAGAATTGAGAAGTTCAAGCCTATCTGTCTTCTTAATGTCAGTTTCAAAATTTTTACCAAGGTTGGGACTAATAGACTCACACAGATTGCACACTCTATGGTGCAGCCGACCCAAACTGCTTTGATGCCGGACAGATACATCCTAGAAGGGGTTGTGGTCCTTCATGAAACACTCCATGAAATCCATACGAAAAAACTAGACGGGGTTGTTTTGAAAGTGGATTTCGAAAAGGCGTACAATAAAGTTAAATGGCCATTTCTGCAACAGGCTTTGCGCATGAAAGGTTTCGACCCGGCTTGGAGGAACCAGGTTGAATCCTTCACGCAAAAAGGAAGTGTTGGAATCAAAGTGAATGATGACACATGTCACTATTTCCAGACACATAAAGGCCTGAGATAAGGAGATCCGATGTCACCTATTCTTTTCAACATTGTAGTTGACATGTTGACCATTCTAATAGGTAGGGCAAAGGATGCTGGTTAATTAGGTAGCCTGATACCTCATCTAGTTGATGGAGGGGTGTCTATCCTACAGTACGCTGATGATACTATCATATTCATGGAGCATGACTTGGCAAAAGCGAGAAACATGAAGCTGGTGTTATGCTTATTCGAACAATTGACTGGGTTAAAGATTAACTTTCACAAGAGTGAATTGTTCTGCTTTGGAAGAGCCAAAGAGGAACAAGAGGCTTATAAGCAATTGTTCGGGTGTGAACTTGGGAATTTACCTTTTGCGTATTTGGGTATACCAATCCACCATCGTAAGCTAACAAATAGAGAATGGAAGTGTATTGAGGATCGATTCGA